CGGCCCCCGGGACGCCTCGGCCCGCGCCTCCCGGGCGGGCTATGTGGATAGCCCCGCCGGGGCCGGCCCGCGGGATCAGCACAGCCCGGCCCGCGGCCCCGGCGGCCAGCGGGGACTATGAACCGGAAAGCGCGGCGCTGCCTGGGCCACCTCTTTCTCAGCCTGGGCATGGTCTACCTCCGGATCGGGTAAGGGCCGCTCGCATCCCCTGCACGCGTGTCCCGGCAAAGTTGGCGTGGCCCGGGGAGGGGGTCGGCCGCCGGCCACCAACTTCTTCGGCCCCTCAGAGAGGCTGGGTGGGCGCGGTGCTGGAGCTGTGGGCGCACAAAGACCCCCCGCAGGCGGGCGCCCCAGGGGCGCGCACAGCTCTAGACACTGGGCAGAGGTCCGGCCATCCTGAGGATGTCTGAGTCTGGAAGCCCCCAGAACCAGAGACAACCAGTAGGGACGGTCCGGCTTGGGGGACTCAGGAGAACTAGCTGCTGCGAAGGTCAGCCTCTCCTAGGGACAGTTCTGACCCGAGCATAGGGCATAGGAACAGCAGGTCCCACAAGAACACCGGAGCCGGGAGTCAGGACGACAGCCGCTCCCAAGGAGCTCAGCCCCAAGAGCCCGAGAGGAACTCTGTACACAGAGGCGCGGGCACAGCCACTCCTGGAGACAGGGCAGTCCCCGGGTGGCAGGCGGGGCCGTTCCTTGCAACGGGGAACAGGTACCTAGAGGGAGGGACCTTCGCTGGCAAAAACACAAACCGCTGCTCAGATCCCTGACACCACCTGATTTCCAAGAACCCTCAATACTCCCAGAGCCCTTTCCCGGGCCAAGGGGACAGCGCCTCCCATTCCCAACGAACACACACAAAGGTAGGACGAGAGATGGCCCTAGACACCCAGAGAGACAAGCTCGAAGAGCCAGCGCCAGAGAGAGGCGGGCCACCCCGCCCCCTAAAACTGGGCACCGGAGTCGGCCGGCGCGCCTGCGGAGCAGCCCTCCCTGCTGCACTCCAGCATTTCCACGGAGGTGGGGCCTGGGGCGGCGCTCCGGCTGGAAAGTGGGAGGGGGCGGCTCAGGACGCGTCTTGGAGCTGCATTTGCAGGGCCAGTCACCCTTTGTACTTAGGAGATAATGCGTGTGAAGCACGGAGGGGTGGGGGTGGGGGGCTTGAGGGATTGATAGAGGTTCTGGCGCTAAAGGGCCACCTTGGCAAGTTTCACACAACCTGCTTTCCTACTCCAGGGGGGAACCTCCCCACAGCTCGGCTTTGGGGAGGGGGCAGACTGCGGGGCCTGCGGCGAGGGTGTGTGTGTGGCAGAGCCTTTGTGTTTTGCCACTACCACTCCTCCCCTTTCCCCACCCCGCGTCTCCGTAGCGGGCATTTCGCAAGTTGAACGGCCGCGGCTGCAAGCAGGTGCGCGCAGAGCGGACCAGGCGGCCGCCGGCCGCGACCGCGGACCGAGAGGCGACCGCAGGCGGAGAGGCGGCTGCGGGGCTCGCGCGCTGTCTGCCTGCGGGTGTGTTTTAAGTGTTATTGATTCATCCGCGTCTGGGTGGCTTTTCTCTTTCTCCCTGCTTTAATCTTCATCTTGGCCCGCGCCCCGCCGCCCCGCGCGCATCCAGCATTCAGGAAGCTGGTCGGGCTGATTGGCGCTGGCCGCGTGAGGCTTTATCTTCTTTTTAATTAGAATCGGGGCGGAGGGACTGGGGAAGGGAGAGAGAAAGGGAAAACAACAGAAAATAACCTCCCCTGGCTGCCCCGCCTGCCGGACCTCCCGCCGGCGCGCGGAGACCTCATTGGCCCCGCCGGGGCCCAGCTGCCCTGGAGGGAGGGAGGGAGCTACAGAGGGCGCTGGCCTTCAGCACCGCAGTCGCCCTTTGGGGCGGGGAGAGGTCCAGGTCAGGAAAAGGAATTGAACGGTGAATTTGGCCCGGGCCCTGCTGCTCCCTGAGCCTCGGGCTATCCATCTGTAAAATGGGCATGAGAGGTAAAGTTCCAAGGTCCTTAAGAAGCCTTCCAGCTCTCCAGATGTGCCTGGTTCCTCCCTGCTCAGGGCTGATGGCAGGGCATCTGCGCGGTATTATTTAATGTGGATAGTTCCAGTGACTCAAGCACTACCCCCCATAACAATCAAATCCAATAATAATAAAAACCACAACAGCAGCACAGTTATTGAGTACATACTAGGTGCCTGACACCTTTTAAACACTTTCCATGTTTTAACACATTTAATTTTCACAGCAACACTGTGAAATGAGGGCTAATGATCAATATCCTCATTTTAGTGATGGAAAAGCTGAAGTACAGAGAGGGGATGTAACTTGCTCAAGGCCACACAGCTAGTATGTGAAGGAAGCTTCGCTGGTACCCTAGGCCTGACCTTTTAGCTGCTAGATTATTGTTCCTCTGAATTTTTGACTCTAATATATCAATTATACTCTGTTGGGGTAGAAATTCCCTGGTGGTAAGCTAGGCATTCACAGGTTCCCCCTGACTTGTGGCCACAACATCTCTGCTTGACAATCTTTCAACATTTCAAACATTCTAGCTCTAGCCGTGTTAGACTGTCTTTCAGTGGCTGAGATGAATGAATGAGAGCTCTAGAGAGCTTTCTGTTTCAGATCAGTGACCCACTAGCCTCTAGATCTCAATCCCTGTGAGCCTCAATTTTCAGATATGTGAAAAGGGTGATTCCTGCCCATCAGGGCTGTTTAGAAAGGTCACATGTATCTCATGTTTGCAGCAACACCTGCCATACTGCCTTGGCATGGTAGGGATGCTGCAAAAGTTCACTGATGCATTCAGGGCATATTTGGGGAGGGGCACCTGCTGTGTCATATAGGTACTTACCTTGAGTGATATTTGGAAACTCCATAGTTCATCGGTTCATTCATTCACTCATTCATTCAGTAGCCATTTAGTGAACCGACAGACATCATTCCTGCCCCCAAAGAGCTCATAGTCTAATGAGAAGGACAAGTGACAAAGTGGGCACACAGAACCAAACATGTACATTAAAACATTTCAGAAGACTACAAGTAATCCAGAGAATTACATAAACAAAACAGAGACTGTGATGCAAAGTTATGAGGGGTGTGATGGGGAGGCAGGTTCCCTTAGCTGGGGTGGTCAAGGAAGATGCCCCATGAAGTCACAGGAATGATGGCAAGAAGCCAAGCCTGTGAAGCTCATGGGAGGAGAGAGATTGCAGGGAAGGGGACCAGTAAGGACAAAGGGCCGGAGGCAGGAAGAGGGCTGGTGTGAGGCAGGAGTAGAGGGAAAGAGAGTAGGACTGGTCAGTAATGTGCTTGGAGAGGAGTGGGGTCACCTCATCTCCTGCACTGTTGGTACACAGAGCCTTGCTTTAAGAAATTCCAATTCCAGAACAACTTCCTGTAGCTGAGTCCCAGGATGGAAAATGTGAGGCACTTTGCCCAGGGCTGGTTGTGACCTTCAGTAAATGGAAGCTCTTACTATTATAACCAGAGTGAGGCATCAGGGGTGAGGTCTTCTCTTTAAAAGCTCCAGATGTGTGGACCATCTTTGTGTAAAGGGAGGGCTACCTGAACCATCAGGGTTGCCATTGGAGCTTGTCTGGGGTTATCTTGATATTAGGAAATGGCCCCACCCTCGGCCAGATACCCAGGAGTCACACTGACGCCTGTCTTTCCCTCATACCCTTCCCCATCCCTCCCCTCAGCTCCACCCTTCTATCAGTCCATCAGCAAGTTGGGTCAGCTCCATCCGCAGCCACCCCTGCTGCTGCCAAGGCCAAGCCACCACCCCCTCTTGCCTGTCCCTTCTCCCTGCTCCTGCTCTGGTGCCCCGTGTTCCTCTCTCCCATGGGGCTGGAGGGATGGGATGCTGTCAGTTTCCTGCTTACAGCCTTTCAGTGCTCCCTGATGCACTTGAGAAAATTCTAGCCCTCTACAAGGTTCTCTCCTCAGACCCTCTCCTTCCCTGAGCCCTGCACCAGCTTCTGTGGGATCTTTCTGTTCCTTGGTGATCCCAGGTTGCTGCTCCCCCCCACCCCCGAGAACTTGGCATCTGCTGTTCCCTCTGCCCAAATTACTCTCCCCCAGACCTGCCCACGACTGGCTCCTAGCCATTCAGCTGCACAGCACCTCCCATCCTTGACCACCGCAGCTAAAGTGGCCCCTCTCTCTTCCCTCCCAAGCCCACCCTCTTCATTTATGGCCTCTTCACTTACTTTCCTCATAGTGCCCACCACTGTCTGAAATGGTCTATTATTCATTTGTGAAATGGGTGTAGTCTCCCTCCAGAGCTCCTGGAGGGCAGGCCCTGGCCTCTCTCCCAGCATGGTGCCTGGCACCTGATAGGTGTCCAGTATGTATCTGCACAGAGAATGAGTTAGGAAGATAGGAACCGTATGAAGAGTCAGGGGCATCCTCTAGACTGGTCATGCCTGGCGTGGGGTACACATACTCCATTGGCACGCAGAAAGAAAATACTAGACCTTCTATTTACAATTACTTTTCAAAGATATTGTTTGTAAAACAACATATACATACATACCAGAAAGTATATATAACGTGTATAGGCAGTTGCGGTTTTTTGGTTTTTTTTTAACGTGTACCCACAACCTTTCAGGGCAACTGCTGCAGGAAACTTTGGAGTTATCATCCCCTTGCTTGCCTTTGCAGAGTTATCACATAGACACGATTCCTAAACAATATTGGGTTTTAGTTTGCATGATTTAAAATTTCATCTCAATTGAACTCTACCATAAATCCGAAGGCAACTTGCTTTGTGCAAAATGTTGTATTTGTGATATATGTCATCTTTTTTTGTGTGTATCTTAAAAGAAAATCAAGGCTCACTAATATTGAATATATATACTACACAAGTACTGATATGGAATACAAAATGAATAAATGTGGGTTTGGGGTACAGTATCAAAAAAGTTGGGAGACCTCTGCTGGGAGCAACAGGGGGGGTAGGGGTGTAGGGGGAGTAGGGACAACAGCATCAGACACCCTGGGAGAGCCTGTAAGCCATGCCCCCCACCTTGCTGGACTAACACTCCATTTCTCTGTGTCCCCTGCTCCAGTGGCTTCTCCTCGGTGGTAGCTCTGGGCGCGAGCATCATCTGTAACAAGATCCCGGGCCTGGCTCCCAGACAGCGGGCGATCTGCCAGAGCCGACCCGACGCCATCATCATCATAGGAGAAGGCTCACAAATGGGCCTCGACGAGTGTCAGTTTCAGTTCCGCAATGGCCGCTGGAACTGCTCAGCACTGGGGGAGCGCACCGTCTTCGGGAAGGAGCTCAAAGTGGGTATGTGCTCACCCAGACAACTTATGCAAGGTCTTAGAGGCTATGGGAGACCAGAATACCCTCAGGATCCCTCTGTGACCCTCTCACCTGCCCCATGCTGGAATGCTACCCTGTATGGGATCTGCGGGTGTCATGACTTGAATCAGTTCTCCTGGGGAAGGTCAGATCTCTAATTTGAATCCAGACCACTCCAACCATTTATGGCAAAGTTGAAAATCAGCAACCAGTGGCCTAAATGCTAATTGACTGATATAGCACTGATGTTTCTTAAATTGAAGTCCAATTAAAAAAATAACATTTCTACCTAGAAGTATGAATTTTTGGCTTCTTTTTAAAAATAGGCAGATCTACTGATAACTTACATATGTGCCTCCATAGTTATAGTGGGGTCAAGCTGAGAATGAAGCTTCCTTTAAGATGGAGTCACTGCCACAGTCCCTACCACTCCCTATTATCGCCCAGTCCCCATTTATGACTCACCAGGCCACTGTGGGCATTTGAATTTGCAACCCCTATCTTGTGGGAATTGTGTGTTGCTCGGACATGCATACATGGGCGTGCATCCATGTGTGTTTGTGTGTGTGTGTGTGTGTGTGCGCGCGCACACACACCCAGAGATACACACACAAACATGCACAAAGTATCAGGTCACACTTTTGGTTTTTAAAGCAACTATGAGGAAAACCTGGTGGAAAGGGGGTTGGTCATTGGGAGGCCTCAATATTTATGGAAAAGGCCATGATAATGTGTCCTGCTTGTGTGTGTCTGGACTGGGGGGCCGGGAAGTCCGCATGCCTGCTGCCAAGCTGTGAACTTCCCTGAAAATAAGTCTGCCTCAGGTCTCTTTGGGCTGGAGTGGTTCACCCGGCCTGCTGAACTGCTCTAAAAGCACCCCTGAGTTCTCTCTCTCCCTCAGCCCCAGCATCAGTAAATTCAGTGGATATTGAAAAGATCCACCCCAAATCCAGCCATTTCTCCGTGTCTCCTTACTTCCTCCCCCTCAGGTCACACAGATGGCGCCTCTGGGCTCCCTGGCGCCCCCATCATCCTGCTGCCCCCTGGCTATTCTGCAAACCGTCCTGCAGGCAGGGTCCTCCTTTGTAAATGAAAATCAGATCATGTCATTTCCCTGCTTAAAACTCCGTGGAGGCTTCCTCTCATTTTTAAAGTGCTGCTGACCTCTGCCCCCATCTGCTCCCATCTTCCCCCTCCCCCCTGCCCACCCAGGCTTGTCTTTTTTCCCAAACACACCACACTGGGTCCTGCCCTGGGGCCCCAGCACTACACATTCCTTCTGCCTCAGATCCTTTCTCACAGTTAGCACCCCAGAGTCCCCCATTCTCTGTTCACATCTCTCCCTCACGGCCTTCGGGTCTCTGGGCCTCCCTTGATCACCGGGGTCTAAAGCCCCCTCCTATCACGAAGCTCCAGCCCATCAGCCAAGCACTTGGCACTGTGACTCATTCTTCACCCCTTGGGAATGCCAGCTCCATGAGAGTTGGGGCTCCCCGTCACACTCACCACTGGATGTTTCCTTCCTCCTTCTTGGTCATCTCGGTCCTGAGCAGGTCTTGTTTGATCACCATCTTCTGTAGGCATCTGCTTACTCACGCCTGAGGGAGACAGACCCCAGCTTCATGGTGAGGTTGGCAGGGAGCGTGGCAGCCTCCTCTTATAGAACTTCTCTTTACATGCGTGCCCTTTCTGACATCTTCGTGGTTAGAATTTTGCCTTGTACCACCTGCCCTTCCTTCTCCCTCTTCCAGCCTCGGGGCTGACTTTTCAGGTGGAGAATGGGGGCCCAGAGAGAGGGCGGGGCTGCCCTGGCTCACACGGGAAGGTGGCATCAACGCTGAGTCCAATTTAGGTCCTGAAATTCCCATCCTGTGAGCCTTCTGTTGGCATCCATGGTTTTTCAGCCTTCTCTTGCTCACATCCCCAGTCCCCTGTCCCTGGGACCCAGGTCTGGGCTCTGGCATTACTTTAAACTTGTATGTTGCTGACATATGAGATGTTACAGATGAGGAAACAGGCTCAGAAGGGACTGGTTTGAGGTCAGTGAAAGTGAGTAACAGGGTGTCCTAGGACTGGGTTGATGCAGCCTTGGAACAGCCTGCAGCCTTGGAGAACCAGACCATAGCCTGGCATTATAATAGTGCATGCTGGGGTGCAGTGGAGGGCTATGGGGCCAGGAGCCCCTGCTGTCCAGCAGCCCTCCCAGCTGACCAGAGTTGTAGAATCGAGGGAATCTATTGCACGTCAAGTGGCCTCAGGGAATCCAAGCAAAGAGAGGAGCCTAAGAAAACCTGGGGCATAGCAATGCTAGGGCAATAGGTCTACAGGCCTGGAAGTGAGTGGGAGCCAGGGCCAGGAGGTGTATGGCATCAATCTGAGCAGTTTGAACTCAAACTAGGTGGTGGGAGCAATTGGAGAATTTTGAGCAAAGGCCTAGCTGCCAAAGTAAGGTCATACTGTATGAAACAGCCACTATTTAATGATTTTTGACCTGCAAAAATGACAACATCATATGATCCAGCCTAATAGTAATTTTGGACGTCTCATTAAAGGGTGGCTATAAAATTCATTCGTTTATTTATGTCATTCATTAACTATACATTCACCAAATATTTACTGAGTGCCCACCATGGCTGGAGGCTGCTGTTGCAGCCTGTTTGGTCAAGAAAGGCCTCTGGATTCATAAGGGAGGTGAGCCACGGGCATGTCTGGGGAAGGGCATGTTGGGCAAAGAGGATGGATGTGCAAAGGCCCCCGGGCAGGAACATGTTTGGCAGTTTGAGGACCAGTGAGAGGGCTGGTGTAGCTGAAGTACAGCAAGCAGGGGGAAGAGGAAGTCTCAGAGGTCAGAGAAGAAGCCAGGAGCTGGACGGTGTGACGTCTGTCAGGCCAAGTCAGGGATTTGGGTTTTCCTCCAGTGAATGGAGAGCGAGGGAATGACAGGATCTGACTTTGGATCTAGCAGCCTTGCTCTAGCTCCCAGGAATAGAATGAACTATGGAAGGGCCAGGGGCCAGTCTTCTGGGCAGGAGGTGACACTGGCTATGGCCTGAGAGATAGCAGTGCAGATCTGCTTTGGCAGTGATGCTGAGGATGAAGGGGGACTGATGACCTGAAGGCCAGTTAGGAAGGAGGTACCCTGGCCTGGAACCTGAAAGGTGGTGGCGATGGAGCCGAGGACAAGGAGGTGCAGATGAGACCCCCAAGGGTCTGAGAAGTCACTTTCCCTCTGAGCCTTGGTTTCCTCACGTGTAAACATATCCTCTTGAGGACACCAAGAAGCAAGCTTCAGATCTCGGCTCCCGGGCTCTTCCTTAGTGCCCTCAGTGCTCTTGCCCTTATAGGATTGCCTCTTCCTGGCAATGACCAACCAGCAAGGCTGCCTTGTAGGTGAGGCATCAAGAGTGTAGTCTTTGAGTTTGGGAGGAGCTCTGACCATCAAGGCCACACTCTGGATGGCAGGAAACATCGCCCCCCCCCACCCCCAACCCCATACTTCTACTTACATTTCATTGGCCAGAATTCAGTCACATAACCTCGCCTAGCTGCAAGGGAAGCTGGGAAGTGTAGTCTTTTATTCAGAGTAGCTCTGAGACCAGCTCAGAGTCTGTGACTGAGGAGGAAGGGGAAAGTTGACATTGGGGTGGTGGGTAGCTGCCCTTGGCATAGTTATCCATCTCATGCTGAGACCCGAAGGCTCATCTTCTCCTGCCTCCTCAGCCTCCGCTCTGGTCTCCGGTTCTGTGTTTCATGGCTCTGTCTCCCCTCCTGAATGTTCTAGATTTTACTGTCTAGATCTCAGGAGAAGGCCATGGACATGTACCAGACAAAGGCCTCTTGGATGCTAGAAACTGAAACCCAGTCCAAGCCCTCTCAGGCAAAAAGGGGAATTTATGTCTGCTTAAGTCATTGCAAAGTCAGGGATGGTGCTGACTTTTGGAATGGCTTCTGCCAACCCCAGACCTGCTTCTTGGGGTGGCGGGATGGCTCTGAAAGTGCCAGAACCACAACTTCCAGGTTCTAAATTTGCAAGAAAGAGCATTAGCCTTTCTCTGGGGGCCCCTACAGAAGTCCTAAGGTTCATCCCGACTGGATCAGCTAACAGGGCTTGACTTTGGGTCATGTGTCCATCCCAAACCAATCACAGTGGTCAAGGGCAGCAGTGCTTTTGTTGGCCAGACCTGGGAGCCCCACCTAGACCATGTCTAATGGGAGAGGGCCTGCTCACGAGAAGCTTGGGCTTCTCTAACAAAGAACCACAGGCTGGGCAGCTTAGACAAAATGCTTCTTTTCTCACAGTTCTGGAGGCCAGAACTCCAAGATCAAGGTGTCAGCAGGTTTGATTTTTTCCGAGGCCTCTCTCCTTGGCCTGCAGATGGCCACCTTCTCCCTGTGTCCTTACATGGTCTTTCCCCTGTGCATGCCCTTGTTGTCTCTGTGTCCTAATCTCCTCTGCTTACAAAGACACCAGTCAGATTGGATTAGGACCCACCGTAATGGCCTCATTTCAACTTAATCACTGCTTTACAGGTCATACCTCCAAATACATAATGTCCCTTGTCACAGTCTGAAACACTGGGGGTTAGGGTTGCAACATATGAAGGGGGGGTAATGAGCAACCAGAGAGCAGAATGGCTCTGTGCTTCAGGAAAAGGCATACAAGATGTGGTGGGTGCTCAGAGGTGAAACTCCAAGGTGCGAGAAGTGGGCTAGACAATAGAGATGGCCCTTGATCCAGGTCTTAAAGGGTAGGAAGAATGGGGCAACGACATGGATGTTGGATTGCTAAGAGGATCTTGAACAGGTCTCTGCAGCCTCAGGAGGCAGGGGGTCAGTAGTCTCAGATGAGATTGCAGGCCAGCTCTTCAGGGGTCTTAAATGCCAGGGATTATTAGAATGTGGTGTATGGCTCCACATCAGCTTTATCACCTGCTACCCATTGTGGCCCTTGGAGGCTTGAGAAGGCATTCAGCCCCCTTCAGCCT